ATAGCAAAATCCTGTGCTCAAGACAAGAACAGAAGAAGAGAAATCACATGCACATATAGGGCTCAGAGAAACAGCTTGGTAGTTAGGATTATTTACTGCTCTTCCAGAGAACATAGGTTTGGTTTTCCATCTCCCACATACAACTATAAAGCTGGACATGTGAGGTTGTCTCAGGGAAACAGGAGCTGGCCTAGTCACTCATGTCGGACGAACCTGTTTCTTGCCAGGTCTATGCAGGGAATGGATTTAAGTAAGATAAGAACAAGAATCTCACAACAGCCTTAGCGCTTCAGGGAGCCTTGGCATTTTTACAGAGAGTATCTGACTGTGTAAAGGTATCTATTTTTCCAGGAATTATCATTTTCCACCTTGAACCCTCAGAGAAGATCCACAGCCTCCTTTTCTGCTTCCTGTTCCTCCCCAGACTCTTTCCTTGGGAGCCTCACCTGCCCATTCTAGCATGTCCTCAATGTTTTCTGCTGCCCCTGGCACCAGACGGCTCTGATCGGTGTCCTCCAGCCTCAGAATGAAGCTCCCTTGGTGCTTCTTGGCAAAGATGTAGTTGTAGAGGGCAGTACGGAGGCCACCCAGGTGCAAGAAGCCTGGTAAAAGAGAACAGGTCAGACAGGACAAGGCCTATGACTACATCATAGGCCTCAGCTGAAATACAAATAATAATAATGTCCTAACAAAGCTTTTTTTTTTTTTTTTTTTTTTTTGGTTTGGTTTTCGAGACAGGGTTTCTCTGTGTAGCCCTGGCTGTCCTGGAACTCACTCTGTAGACCAGGCTAGCCCCGAACTCAGAAATCCGCCTGCCTCTGCCTCCCAAGTGCTGGGATTAAAGGCGTGCGCCACCACCGCCTGGCTCTAACAAAGTTTTAAGACCAAGCAATGGCTGTAATTGCCCTATATCTCTGGCTGACACTCAGACAGACTGTCACTGAAAAGGACAAAGGGGTATGGAGAGATGGCCCAATAGTTAAAAGCATGAGGATCCTCTTCCAGAAGACCAAGTTCAGTACCCAGCATCCATATGGTGGTGTATAACCGTCTAGAACTCGAGTTCCAGAGAACCCAACACTATCTTTTGACTTTAGCAGGTGTTGGGAGCCGACTCTTAGCCGAAAGCGGCTGTCATCTTTACAGCCACCTCAAGCCATATACCCTGAAAAGAGATTTGTTTTCAACAGCCCTCAACAGCTGCGCACACTCTGATAAACATGTTTTGCTGTTTAGTGCTGCCAGCAGCTAGGTGCACGTGGTCTCCACGCTGCTAGGTGCATGATGTAGTGCCTTCAGCTGTGCTTGTCCACGAGGGCAAGGCACGTGGTAAAGGACATAAATACCCAGGATTTCTTTTCAATAAAAGAAACTTGATCAGACTCTATCTTGTCTCCTTTCTTCGCGTCTCTCGCCCCCTCCATCCCTACTCTCTCTCTCTTGATAGACCCTGACCTCCAGACTGGAGCAGCAGAACGGGCCGTTACAAGCAGGTACCATCACAGATATGGAACACATACACAAATTACTCATACATATAAAATAAAATTTTTAAAAATCTGTTTTTGTTTTTTAAGACAGGGTTTCTCTGTATAGCCTTGGTATGTTCTAGAACTCACTCTGTGTTTTGTAGACCAGGCTGGTCTCAAACTTCCAGAGATCTGTCTGACTTTGCCTCCCTAGTGCTAGAAATTCCCTAGTGCTGGGATTAAAAGTCTGTACCATCACCACCCCCTGACTCAAAATAAATATTTTTTTTTTTTGAGACGGGGTTTTTCTGTGTAGTCCCTGGCTGTCCTGGAACTTGCTCTGTAGATCAGGCTGGCCTCAAACTCAGATCTGCCTGCTTCTGCTTCCTGAGTGCTGGGATTAAAGGCCACAGAACACCATGGCCTGGCAAAATCTTAACAACAAAAAGGACAGGTTAGCTGACTCCATAGTCCTTCACCTTGGGAATGAAAGAACACCCAGGAGTCAGGTCTAGGAGCTTGTCATCACATAAAAACGCTCCAATGTTCCAGAGTACCTTAAACCCTTGATTTTGACATTTGCCTCAAGGCTAATTTTTACCAGAAGGAGAAACAGCATTTTCTGTTTGAAAATTATTCACCAAGTCCAGATCACACAAGCATTTAAGTTACATAAATTTAACTATTTATTCTAGGAGGGGAGGAGGGCTAACCACATGTTAACAGCACAATTCAACCCTGTAAAAATCCCATTTTGCATATATATTCTACATGATACTTAGCTACATCATGCAATTTAAATTTTTCCTACTTGAGATTTTTACCTTAAGTGCCTGTTATAAGTAATTATAATTAACAGCAACATTTGACTTCACTGTATTTCCCTTCACTGGAGTTCAAGCCCTAAAAGTATTACTACTAAAATTTCAGGTCTTCCCAGGTCTGTCATTTCCCCTTTCCTCTACTTTATTTAGTCCAGCCCAAAGCCCTGGATCTCCATAATCAGGCCATTTACATTTATAATAACCTCATCTGCATTTCCAGGTACCCAAGGGCACGGGACAAGAAATGCTTTTCTGTGTACGAGGCCAACCTGGCTCAACACTAATTCTATGTGAGACCTTCAGCAAATTATTGCAAACCCACAAAATGCATAGCTCTCAATGGAACTAAGTCTTAGGAATTTCAAGACAGAAGATACCAGAAATCAAAACTAAGACCCCCTCACATCATGTATAGCTGGATTCAAATTCCACATCCAGGGACAGGGTAAATGGCTCCAGTCTCTGCTGTACAAGCATGACAACTTAACAGGCAGGTAGATCCCTGTAGCTTACTGGTTTCAGTCCATCAGTTGAGTACCAGGTTCAGTGACTTTCTCAAAACTACAAGACACACACATATACCATACATGAAATTAAAAAAAATAATTGTGCCCAATATTAAGAAGTTGATAACCTTTGGAAATTCATTTAGTTTTCACAAGTTTCAAGTTCCTGATCTGTTAGTGGGCTTAAAAACAAAAATCAGGCCGGGCTGTGGTGGCGCATGCCTTTAATCCCAGCACTTGGGAGGCAGAGACAGGCAGATTTCTGAGTTCAAGGCCGGCCTGGTCTACACAGAGAAACCCTGTCTTGAAAAACCAAAACAAAAAACCCAAAAATCTGGTGGACTGAACCTTTAATCTCACCACTCTAGAGGCAGAGGCAGGGGGATCTCTGTGAGTTTGTAACAACAGCCTGGTCAACACAGAAAGTTCCAGGCCAGCCAGGATACAGTGAGGCCCTGTTTTAACAAAACAAAAATACCTAAATCCTTCTTAATAATGAGGCTGCTGGAATACCTAAATGTTGACCAAAGTAGAACTTCAAGCCAGGCCTGATGACTCATATTTGTAATACCAAAACCTGGGAGGCAGAGACAGAAGGATTGTTGCAGTTCAACACCAGCATGGTCTTCATAATGACTTCCAGGCCAACTTGGGTGATATAGGAAACTCTTTCCAAATTAAAAATAAAACAAAAACCCAAACGTGTAAACCTTCAATTAATTTTGACTATCACAGTGATCTATACTGCTTGTCAGCTCTTTCTCATTTGGGCTTTTCCTGCCAGTCAGCAAAGAAATGAAAATGGTAATTGTAGTAAAGACTACTGTACATAGATCTTACTAAGTGGCTCTGCTGCACTGGCTCAAAACCATCCGACAAGTACTATTATTAGCCCTACTTGAGAAATTACAAAATTGGGACATAAACAGAGGAAATAATTTTGCCAAAACAACACATCTAGGGATTGGCAAAGACAAAAATATAGATGCAGAAAATGCCAGGCCTTGGATCACTGCCTAAGTGCTTCTTTAAATAAGGTGGGCATCCCAGTGCATGTTTGCCATAGGTAAACAAAGAAACTGCTAGTCAAGGTTTAGATACTTGCAGCCATTTGATAGTCATTTTTTCCCCTAGTTGTTTCATTTATATTAGTCTTAAGTACAGAATCACAACAGTTAGTTATGAACCAGGGCTTCTACCACATATGGTTGAATTTCCACAATCTATATGGCCTGCCCAGAAGTAATGTTTTTTCCTGTGCAGCTGGGACTCTGTCAGAAATATCTTTCCCTGCTGACCTTGGGCCTAGAATGAAAGGTTGCTCAGTGTGAACAGGGCGGAAGGTGGCTTGAGTTAAAGGTTGGGAACTTGTGGGGAGGGGAGGAGATAACAGAATTTCTAACAAGATATACACTGGGCCTCTGTTTTCTTTTGGCTTACTAAGCTGCCAGGAAACCCAGGCTTCTGTGCGTACCCTCTTAAGCTTCAAGAAGGTCTTCTTGACATTTGGGTCTCAACTCAAATGTTACCTCTTCAGCAACACCTTCTAGGGAGCCCTATCCCGCTTCATTCCCAAAATGACACATATGACTCTAGGATTTGTCGGTTTCATCAAAGCAGGAGCCCTAACTTTTCAATGACCACTGCATTACAGCACATAGGCCTTGGCATATAGTCTATACGCTCTGCACACTAAGTGCATTAACAAAGACCGGAGACAAGGAAACTTCTAGCAACCTCAATCACTTCAAATTCTAGTCTTCCATTTCCGTCCCTGTAAAATGGGGTCGCGCAGACAACCCCGGAAGAGACTGTTTCTGGAACTTTCGGGGGCGGGGACAAGAAGGTGGGCTGCGGCGCGCGGCGTCACGTCCGTCAGGATTACCTGTGGGGCTGGGAGCGAAGCGCACTCGCACCGTGGCCCCGGGATCTGGGCCCAGACTGGCCTCGCGCCGACTCACGCGGTGCCCGAGAGCCACCACGTGTGTCCCGGGCAGCTGAAACCTCTTGAGGAGCGCCGCCATGTGGAATAGAAACACACACGTGGGCTTCTTCGCGCGTCACTTCCGCGCGGCGGGGAAAGCTCATTCCAACCAATCAACTTTCGCCACAGCGAGCGCGGCCCCGCCACTTAAAGGCGTAGGACGCCTATCTGGGCTGCTCACGCCCCTCTCGACAAGGGCGGGGATGTGCCGCTGCTCGGGGACAGAGCGCAGCGAGCGGGCGATTTCCCAGACCCGCCCCCTTCGGCTGCGGGAATGCTAAAGCGTGGCAGGGGCTGGCCCGGGAAGCGGAGGAGGCGGGTCTCCATAGAAACCTCCACCTGTTTCCGGCCAGCCTGTGTGAAATTAGGGGCTGTTGCGGGGGCCAATCTCAGCCAGCTCGCTTCTTCCCGGCGGCCCCTGCGGGCGCGGTGGGTGTTGTACACAATCATCATGGCGGCGGCCGGAGCCCCGGATGGTGAGTGTGGCGGGGAAGGTAGGCGGTCGGTGACTGAAGAGCTTGCTGACGCTGCCGGGGTCGGGGGACTGGGCCTGGCCCCAGAGGGAGGAGCGTGGCGCAGCAACGGCGGTGCCTGGGCCCGTTCTTGTCGCAGGCCGGGCTCGTGGCGAGCACCCACCCCCTAACCCCTTTGCAGGCATGGAGGAGCCAGGCATGGACACGGAGGCCGAGGCTGTGGCCACCGAGGCGCCCGCACGGCCCCTCAACTGCGTGGAGGCCGAAGCAGCCGTAGGGGCAGCGCCGGAGGACTCTTGCGACGCACGAGGCAACCTGCAGCCGGCCCCGGCCCAGCCCCCTGGGGACCCTGCGGCCCAGGCCTCGGTCAGCAACGGCGAGGACGCGGGCGGTGGTGCGGGCAGGGAGCTGGTGGATCTGAAGATAATCTGGAACAAGACCAAGCACGACGTGAAGGTCCCTCTGGACAGCACGGGTTCCGAGCTAAAGCAGAAGATTCACTCCATTACAGGTATTCTAGGAGCTGATAACCAACTGCTTCTACCCGCACCCTACCTTCTAGGTCTCGGTGCTTACGTCGTGCTAAACTGTTTGTGATTTTTTTGCCTAGACTCCCGCTATCCTCACTGTAGTTTTCTGAAGTCAATACTTGTATGTCCATTATTAATCAGAGAGGGAAAATTAGGTCCAAGATGATAGAGATACCACCAAGTGGTGGAGTGAGATGCAAGCCTGAATCTTGAGTATTAGGCTCACCCTTCTAACTAATGTTGGACTATCATTGTTAGTGAAAACCTCCCGCGGTATTTATTAAATTTACAGGAGCTTCTGAACAGGTCTAGGATTTAGCCATTAATTTATTTTTAGCAGATAGATAAGTTTCGTAAGGGAAGTTCATGAAACAGTGCTATCGACTGTCCTGGTGGCCCTTTACAAATATTCATATTTGGTCGTTTTATTTATTTTGGTTTGTTACTTGAAGTACTTTCTTTTTAAAGCTTTCTCCATGTAGCGTGTAAAATGCCATAGAACAGTAAATTATTGGCTTTCTGTATCCCTGACACTTGGGAATTCTCAATATTTAAGTGGATAGGAGATTGAGTTTCAACTTGGAAAGATTGATAGCTAAGACATATCAAACAATTCTAAATACCTTAAATTTATATAGAAGGACCAGGTTTTACCAATCAAATAGTCCTGGTGTTCTGAATTCCTCCAGGTTCACAAAGCTGATAGTTGATGGACCAGTATTCACTTCCTGTTTTGTTAGAGAAGAGGGATGGTCCACACATTTCCTGCTTATTCCTTTTACTGCCTTCCACTTTTTGTCAAGGTCTCCCACCTGCCATGCAGAAGGTCATGTATAAAGGACTTGTTCCTGAAGACAAGACGTTGAGAGAAATAAAAGTGACCAGTGGGGCCAAGATCATGGTGGTTGGCTCTACTATAAATGATGTTTTAGCAGTAAACACCCCGAAAGATGCTGCCCAGCAGGATTCGAAAGCTGATGAAAACAAGAAGGAGCCCCTCTGCAGGCAGAAGGTAAGTCCATCATGTACTTGCTTGTTGGTCCTGGGAGTTTGGAGGCTGGTTACATTCTCCCTAGAATAAGCTCCTTTTTGGACAGGGCCCATGATGAAAATTTATGGAGCAGTTGGGTGCAGCAGAGTGGAGTTGACAGCTACCTGAAATATGGATCTTTGTCATCTGGCGGGTCAGTGTGCCTTAGTCTTCCTGCTTTAGGATAAGGCCTTTGTAAAGGGAGACTCTAGCTAGTTAGCAAAGGAAGTCACATGTGGGTTTCTCTCAGAAGTGCCAGCGAATATGACCAGTGTTGGAATTAATTAAGCCCTGTTCCTTACAACTGCTCCCATTTGGGGTGTGTGTGTATGTGTGTGCGTGTGTGTTCTCAAGTTCAGAAAGTCCAATTCTGGAAAGGTGTGGAAGTCAACAGATTTCAGAGGTTCTCCTAAAACTGACCATTTCAGGAAGTCAAACCAAGCTGAATAAAAAGATATATACTGTTTTGTTTTGTATTTATAATGGTCCTTTTCCGTGAAGGAGTCTGAAATTTTGTATTATCTCTCTTGATCATTTTTGTGTGCTTGTTTTTTGAGGCAGGGTTTTACTGTTTATCCCTGACTAGCCTAAAGCTTAATCTGGAGATGAGTCTGGCCTGGAATTTTTAACAGCTCTCTTGTCTCTATCTCCCTAGGCCTGAGTTTATGGGCATGTGCCATCATGCCTGTTTATAGGTTTGTATTTGTATGTGTACAATATAGAGGACTGGACGGATAGTCTTACTCATGGTAGTAGGCAGGAACTCTACACTGAGCTACCCCAGCCTATTGTGTACTTAATCTGTATCCTCAACACGTACATCTGAGTTGAACCAACATCTGAGGGACTGTAGACACTAAAGTGCCAGCACTGGGACTGGGTTTTCTGTTGGACATCTATAACCTGTGTTTACTTTGTAACCAGAAAGAAATATTTTTTACAAATTTGGCAGTAAAATTGAACAGAATTGTGGGAACAGTTATACTATTTTCTTTGTTTGTTTGTTTTTGATAGAAATACAAATGTGTTCAAAAAAATATTGTTTGGTAACAAGTGGCTACTCTAGATAACATAGAGAATATTGTGTAACATTTTAAAATTGTGTTATCTTTACAAAATCTCCGAAACTCTGGTCTTCAAAACAGCTTTCCATAGGGTATTTGTTTTGTGTTGTATTTATTTGGTGCTAGGGATTAAACCTGGGACCTTGTCAATACATACATAACACATGTTTTACTGCAAAGCAGCATCTCTATAGAGTTGATAAGTATTGTAAAGTTGAATTAGCACCTAAAAGTAAATATTTGTATGAGCCATTTTCATCCCTAAATATGAGATCCTAATTTCCTGTAATTTGTTGAGGTCATTGGTATTTTCTGTTTTCCCCTGACACATCTATGAAGGAAATGTGAAAATTTTCTTCTGTCAAATCCTTAGTGTATAACCTGCTTTGCAAATACATGTTTTAGGTTACTTATGGTAGGTCAGCATTAGTAGAGCTGTTCACCGCTGTGTAGAGACAGTGCTCCCAAAGGTACTTACAAGGTATGACTCAAACTATACTTCCATTCTGAGATGCTTTGCTTTGGTGATGCCACTGGTTACGAGGCATAGTACAACCTAATGAGACTTCACTCCCTCATTAGGCTTTTGATCAGTATGTTCCAGAATCTCAGGCTGGTGTCAGCAACAACCCTTCACTAGCAATCCCTACCACAGTATTCTGCTATGCCAGTGAAGGTTTCAGTTGGCCCATTGCCTGTTAATGCTTACATTTGGCTTAGTTTTACCCCTGGCTCATTTATTGGCCTATAGTTCCAGCTTTACCAAGCTGCTACTGTACCTGTAAAACTACAGATGTAAAGGAGAGGAGATGAAAGCATTTGAGGGCTATGAGCTTGAATTTTTGAGTCCTGGGGTAGAGGGCAGGTATGGGGCTTGGAGGCTTCTTAATGGTAGGGTATAGGGGAGTCAGCATTTTTCTGTTTTCAAAATGTGGTTCCTTGGGTTTTCTTTGTGGGTGGGTTGAGACTCTGTCATAGTCTGGCTCTCCATATAATAATGCAGAAATGACCCCACTTGACATTTATACCTACATAGGCAGCTTATAGTTTCTTTGAAGTTGAAGAATACAGATACTGCTCTTCTCCTACCTGTTAACTTAATGGTTAGTTTTTTACCTGGAAAGATGGGAATAAAACATTGAAATTATAAGTTAGAAACCTTTAAACCTTAGTCACCTTAAATTAGAAATCTTAGTTAGTGGAACAAATCTAATATGGTGGTTACGGATGATGTGGATAGTTAAGTTTAAATATAATTGAGAAGTCACTTTTTTCTGTTGCTAACCACATGGCTGGCACAGGTATGGAACATTTCATTAACAACCCAAACTCCCTTGAACACAGTTGCTCTGCAGTGTGAAGGAATCTATAGTCTGTTGATACTAAATACTTTCAAACATACTTGAAGACTGCTTCATCCTGTCTATCCAAGAGCTGGAAACCTGACTCAAATATAATCAGCTGTCTCATTTTCTCTTTGTTTTGGGTTATATTGTAGCAACACAGGAAAGTATTGGACAAAGGAAAACCTGAAGATGTGATGCCATCTGTTAAGGGTGCCCAGGTAAGCTGGCCTACTTTTTGAGCCCCTAAAAAGGAGCTAGTTCACGATTTAATATTGCTGTAATCATGACCTGAAGTTCTATCTCATCTCCTTCTCTCTGTCCTACTGTCTCCCCCTTTCTCACTGTGCCCTTGTGCCTCCAGGAGCGTCTGCCAACGGTACCCTTGTCTGGCATGTACAATAAGTCTGGAGGGAAAGTGAGACTCACCTTTAAGCTAGAGCAAGACCAGCTGTGGATCGGCACTAAAGGTACTCTAGTTCTCTCAGCCTCCTTGGCATCCCAGCACCCTGCCTGCCTCTAGTGCTCAACAGCACTGGCTCCTGACTGCTGTTCTGCCTTTCAGTTGGAGCCCTTCTCCTCACTGTTCTTTTCAGTGTTCCTGGCTTTTGACTATGTCTGTATATGCTTGCCTCTTGGTTGGCCCCTCCCCCCTTATTCTTTTCAGTCTGATCTCAGAGACCATCCTTCAGAAAAGTTGGCCCTTAAATTTACATACAAACCAAGAGGTCCCAAGTGTGTGACCCAAGTCTAGTCCTTAGGCAAGGGTTTTATGGGTACATCACATAGTTGTACAAATTACATGGTTTCTTTGAAACTAATGGGGGAGCTTGTCTTAGAAAATATCAAAAGATCTGGCCACTGGAGCCTGCACTCTTCCCATGTCATTGAGGAACTGTGACTGAGCAGTGGTATTCACCATGCTCCTCATGGCCCCATTTTATGTTTAGTTAGCTTTGCTTATGGTGCCTGCCTGACCTCTATAGGTCAGTTTGACTGTAGAAGTGAAGTTTTCCTAGTTGCTGCCTAGAATTTCTCCTTTGCCTCCTGATTGCCCTTTATATGTACCCTCATCCCTTGTCGCCCAACTTCTCACATGTGAGCAGTATCTGGTTCAACCTTGGTATTTCTGGGAAGTATCTCTCTCAGGTTTCCCACTCAACCTTACTCTGATGGTTACCAGGTTTTTTTTTGTTTGTTTGTTTTTGATATGGAACTTCTCTCTGTAACCTTGGCCGACCTAGAACTTGCTCTGTAGACCAGGTTAGCCTTCAACTCTTAGATCCCTTGCCTCTGCCTCCTGAATGCTGGCATTAAAGGTATGCACCATCAGTCCCGGCTAGTTACCAAATCTTGTTAGTTACACTCCAGAATTGCCTGTGTCCCTTTCTCTACCCTTCCCTAGTACTGGTAAAGACTGTTTGCATCTTCTTAAAGTTGCATTAGAACCAAGTTTCTGTTTCCCTGTCCCCACCTATATCATCTTTGGTCATTCTTACTGTTGTACTGCTTTTTTTGTCTGGTTCTTGTACCTATAAACATTTATAGCTCTTCAGGGCTAGGTTCAGACGTCTAAACATACCCCACTCCAAACCCTTGCCCTGCTCTGTGTGCCCTCGTGTCCTTATGTACTTGAGCCTCATTCTTCACTTTCCCAGCTCATGTTTTGCACAGCTCTTGTTTTTCTGGTGCCTACCCTAGAATGTCTTCTTCTTAGTCCTTAGAATTAATAGTCTTCTAAAGCCACCCCCCACTACCACCTTTTCTAAAGAAGCCTTCTTCACATCTTCCTAACTCCCCACTTGAACTGCTGCTGCTGCTGCTACTGCTGCTGCTGCTCCAGCACTCTGTCCCCAGAGCACTCATTACTCTCTGACTTGTCTGTCCCCGTTAGATTCCTGGAGGGACCCGAACATGCCTAATTCACCTGTTTCTGGCCAGCACTGTAGGTATTCAGTGTTTTGAGGTAAATGCCAAAGAAGAGAATAGAGGTCCCATCATCAGAGATTTATTGGTTCCAAGGGCAGGTTGCAGAAAATGGAACCAAGTTTCACAAAAATAAAACTTGAGCAGGGTGGTGGGAAGTGTGGTTTTTAATTGTCTAAAACATGAATCTAGAACACATTGCTGTTTCAACCCTAAGGATTCTTAAAATGAACTGACTGAGATGCTGAAAATGCTTGAGTTTTTTCATTTTGGGATAACTGGCTATGTTGTTCATTTCACAGTCAACTCTTAGCTACATGGTAACACAGTTTTTCTAAGTTTTAAAAGGTTTTTCCAGTGTTCTAGTGACTTACGTTGGCTTTGCTTGAATACTTTGTTCTGGAGAGCCTGTCATATCATCTCCTTGGCTAGTGATTAGCTGCCCTGCCTGTGGGCTTTCCTAGTGATCTTGTTTTCTTCTTCTTACATCATTTGCTTGCTGATGCACATGGCTGGCCTCTGTAGCTGGGCTTCTCTGCTTGCTGGCAGCCCAGATTCAGAGCAGTTGACCAGTCTGGTGTAGTAAAGCCATCATGTCCAGGGGAGTAGTAAGTGCAGGCAAGGGGTTTAGTTAAGATTCAAGTCTTGTGCTTTATGGGGGAATAATTTTTTCCACATGAAATTGAGTATGTTGTTTGTTATTTTTGAGGAAACTACAGGGTAACCTGGCTTTAGACTTTTGGTGTTTTTCTTGTCCCAGTCTCCCAAGTACTGGGTTTATAGGCATGAACTATCATGGCTGGCTTAGCGATTTTATTTAAGCTTCTAAAAGCAGCTGGCTTCCTGCTTTAGTGTGAGGGCAGAGCTCTAGAAGAGTCCTGATGCAGTGAGATTGGAGCTGTTTTAGAAGAGCAGAGCCATGAGCTCCTTGTGCCTTTCATGGTTGATGAGGCTGAGCTCTTCATTCTGAGCCAGGCTTTTCCCTATCAACCTAGCAACTCAGGGGGTGGGTGAGTGTTCTTCTTGTGTGCCCAGGAGGCCTGTCACCTAGCATCAAAAGGACTTGCAGAAGTACAACTTGTTCTGGGAATTGGCTAAAAGCCACTAGCTTGTCTTCTGCGAGAAGCTGCTATGAAGTGACTGTCCCAGCAGCTAATTGGCCTCTCCGTGGTTTGTTTGTTTGTTTGTTTGTTTTTCTGCGTAAGGGACCTTCAAGGCTGCCACATATAACATCTCACTGTCTGGGCAGGAAGAAGCAGGGTGAGACAGACCATGGAGATGCCCAGGAGAGCATTCCCAGCTTATAGTCACTGTCCCACCCTGCTTGCAGTGCAGCCAAAGCTTAGCTGACTGCTATTATCTGCCTTGTGGACTTGGATTGTCTAATCTTTGGAATTTGAGGAAAGGTCAGAAATCTATAATGGTATGAAATCTCCTGGCATTTCAAAGTGCAAGTATTTTTAAAGTCTCAGTCTTGAGGAGGCGTCTTGTCTGTATGTAGCTGTCGTTTTAGAGCCACAAAGTAGACTCTCCCTGTTCCCAGTTTTCTGAAGTCAAGGCCTATGAAAGTTTGATACTTTATGTCACTGGTAAGACCAGAGCCCAGGACTCTTATTAAATTTCTAGTTTGGTAACTTAATTTGTTTACTTGTCTGCCTTTCTAGATATTTTTTTTTTCTGCAGAGGCCATAAGGAGTATTTTCCACCTTATGTACCAGTTTTCTGACATTACCCGCCTGCACCTCAGGTATCTGGTGCTTCCTGGGTTACTTCCTTTGGCACAGATCCTCGTGCCTCCCCACCATTACACTTGTCTGCTGCTCTTGCCTCATCTCCTTGAAGGCCAGCCTCATTATTGGCTCTTCGTTTCTGTCATCCTTAACTTGTTGTAAAATGTTGTCTGTCCGTGTGATTGTTGGTGTCTCCAGTGTTAATCAGGTGAGGGTGTAAATGCTTTTGATAGACCGCCACAAACTGATGTCTGTAGAGATCTGAGTGAGTCTGGGCATAGGCATTAGCCTTGTAAGTTGCCATACCTCTCCTGCTGCTGCTTTCTTGTGTGCTTCCTGACTTTGCCTTTTTTAGGTGTTCAAAACCTTAGCTGATTCTGGGTTTGGGTTATGAAAACATCGAGGAGTTTTGAGGTGTTCTTAATGATCATTTATCATAACAAGACAGGTAAATGTGCCCTTGGACTTTTACCATATCATCACCACATCCTGTTTTTCATTTAGTGCTCCCTATTTCCCAGCTCTTTACCAGACTTTAAATGTATTGGTCAGAAGACAGTGTTCCTCATCCCCAGAGGGAGTGTTGCCTGATAAGTCCAACCAGCTGTGGTATGAGAGTTGTTGTGGCCAAGGAGGAGTTGGGATAGGGAGATCCTTGAGTAATTGCTGTCGTTCTTTCAACCTAGAGCGGACTGAGAAACTGCCCATGGGCTCCATTAAAAACGTGGTCAGTGAGCCTATTGAAGGACATGAAGACTACCACATGATGGTGAGTAGCCTCAGCCTGCGTGGCCGCCTGCTTCTGCTTCATCTTGCAGGGAGTGGTTTTTTTCACAGGGCATTTCTATCTGAAAAGAAAGCAGTCTTCAGAAGACTGAAAAGACTTTTACATTTTCTTGTCTACTTAAGAGTTGTGTCCATGACCTTGTTCCCAGTTGTGTTTATTTACAGACTCCCAGCTGTACAAAAGAGGATGTGTTTTTTCCTGTCCTTTTTAGAAATTTCTTCTGTCTCCCTCTTATTTGGATTAGTTTGTTTTTAGGCCAGGAAAATGAATTAGAATGGCTTGTGGACTTTAAGTTTTGTCTTACTTATAAAAGAGAACATCCCCTTAGTTGGGGGGCTATGAAGACACCAAGAAGTCTTCCTCTTGTAGTGCTCTGCCATGCCCAGCATGTGCCCATGTAGCCAGGGCCCCTTTGTGAGGATGGGGCTCAGGGCATGCTTGTTCTTTATAGAGCTCATCAGTTTTTACAGAATGAGCACTGTACAAATCAAGTTTCCCTGCCTAGACTCCAAAGTTCAGGGTTGGGTTTCCTGCTGTTGTCTTTCAGGGGGCAGTTTTTTCAGTAGCTTGTAGTGATGTTGCCATATCCCTTCCCACCCCTACACCTCTATGAGGAGCAGCTAGTTGTTCGAATTGTAGGTAAGATTACCAAGTCCATGGTACAGAGATGTGTTGGACAATCTATTTGCTCTAGGGCAATCAGTGAAAGGGAGTTAGGGTACAGTGGTCTGGAGAGTTAGTGTAGCCTTTCCTGTCTGCTCAGGGTCAGCTAGGTGGAGCCAAAGAAAGGCTTTGGGACTGCAGTCAATGGATACGGGCTCTTGGGCTTTCTTCTTGGCAGCAATGAGAACATACTGGGCTTTGGGGCCATTAGGTAGTCTCTCTCTACACCCTCACCTCCTTGTCATCTCTAAAACAAGACCACAGATTTGTTTTGCCTGCTTGGTTATTTTTCTGTTTTAACAGTTGGTATTGATATTTTTGGCCTGGCCCTTTTACTCTTTTTTAAACATTTGTTTGAACAGTTTGATGCTGTGGGGCTTGCAAAGCCTGTTTCTCCTGCAGCCTGGTGATGGGGAGGCAGATAGGATGAATGGACCACAATAGATACTTCTTTAAAGAATTTGTGTTCATGAATATTGGTTTAGAATTTAGTTCAAATTAAATTTAGTTAAAATGTTCTGATGTCATAGGCTAAATGGGAATTCAGCAGTCCCCTTCTGTCTTTCTTGAATGCAATTAAATAGCACCTTGTCCTAATGAAAGGTTTACTTCCTCTTCTTGCAGATGCCATTTGTCTAGCTAGAGTAGTGTGTCACAGTTCATAGTGCTCTTTAATTTTTAGAGTTGTTTCAAAGATACAGAAAAGGACACACCTAACATTTTATGGTACTACCCATATATCCATCACCGAAATATGATAGTTGTAAATATTTTGTATCATGTTTTAAATCTTTTAAATAAAATTTTTTTTTACCAACAGTGATGTTGTCCCCATTGTCTTCCCCTTCTCCATCCCCATTATTGTAATCTATCATGTATGTTCTTCATTTGTCAGTGCTTTTGTTGTACATATGTCCATAAACAAGATGGTATATTGTGTTGTGTTTTTTTCAGTTTTCATAAATAGCATCATGGTACCCTTCTGCAACTTGATGGCTTGGGTTCAACATTGTGATCTGTCATAACTCAAGATCCAAAGGATCTGTTTATATCTTAACAAAAGACTCCAGTGTTTGTATGAGTAGGCCACACTACTGAGAATTCCTTACTGATGGATATGTAGGTTATTGTTAGGATTTTAACATTTCACACAGTGTGCTTTGAACATTCATACCTGCTTCCTGTGTGTGAATGACATTTTTAGGGCAGCTGTTCTCAAACTGTGGCCTCTGGACCAGTAATACTGAATTACCTAGGAACTTGTTAGAAGTTTCTTGGGCTTTGCCTCAGGCCTCCCAAACTAAAGTCCAGGGGCTAGAGCCTGCATTCTGTTTTCACAAGTCTTCCAGATGGTTCTGATGTACACTGAAGTATGCAAACCACTGCCTTAAGAGTCGGCTCTGCTAAACTGAACTTCCCCTCCCCACCTGCCCTTTCACATTCCCCATCTCCTCTTTAAGCATAGGAGACTCCTCCCCATGTACACAGTTTGGTTTTATTTTTCTTCCCTTTTTAATCAGTTTGCTCCCCTCCCTCCTGCGTCTGTTGTTCTGCCTGCTTGGTCACCCTCCTCTGAAGCATCGCTTGGTTTTTCCTTTTCCCTTGCAGGCATTTCAGTTGGGCCCCACGGAAGCCTCTTACTACTGGGTGTACTGGGTTCCAACTCAATATGTGGATGCAATCAAAGACACTGTGCTGGGCAAGTGGCAGTATTTTTGAAAGCACTTTCACCTCTGGCCCAGGAGACTGATCCAAAGTGAAGGACATTGCCGGGAGAGGTCCGCAGCATCCCTGGATTGCAGAGTTCTGGGACTTTGTTCACACACACAAAAAAAATCTCTATTCAATCTGAGGTGATGTGGTGACTGAAGCCAGAGGTGATGTACTTTCACCATTAGCTTAATTTGAACTTAAAATCACCGGTTCCCTTTCTTGCAGTCAGCTTCATACCATTTTTAAAGTCAGTATGGTGGAAATTAATAAATCCAAGTTTCGAACATGTGTGGAATACTCTTATACTCTTAAGTCTGTTTGAGAGTAGACCTACCAGTAATGCTGAGAGGGAATAATCAAAAGCTTTCTGGTTGTTTTCTTTTTTCTTTGCTCATCTTCTTTCTTTTTTCTTTCTTTCTTCTTTTTTTTTCCTACAAGTGATTTCAACTGAAATCTTCAGATGTCTTTGGTTGCAAACATTTGGACTGCGTTGTGATGAGTCTGTTCTTTTTTTTTTTCCCCTTGGTATTAAAATTGTATGCAAAATGGGGGTGGTGAGTAAGCCATATATTTTTGTGTGTGTGCTCATTGATTTCAGATTTTTTGTTTTGTTTTATTATTTCCCTATGATTTTGTTTTAAACCCAAAGATGCCAGTTTCTCTTTTGGTACCTCATTTTCACCTCTTTGCCAGGCTCTCTTCCATGTGCTGCTGCTTGGGAATACACATGGAAAAGAATAGCTGTGGTCTTGGTGTAGGGGTTCCCACCTCGCTGTGGTGTTTGTTAAACAGCCGAGTATCTCTCACTTGACTCCTGTATACCCTTTGGATCCCTTTTCTGAGGTGTTCCATTGCTGGTTTGCTTGTTGACAGCCTTCCTTTAGCTTGACTTTAAAGCCCTGCCTATCACCACAGCCTAGGATTTGCTGCTCCAAGGCCCCCTGCTCTAAGGAGCCGGCTTGCCACATAGCCACAGATCATACACTTTCTTTTTTGGGAAGCTTCCCAGAACTCCTTAAGCAGTCCAATGGTTGTTTGAATTATGCTTCTCCATTCAGTCCTTTTGCTCATGCGTTCAGTTCAAGTGTCCTTTATCCCAGGTTCAGAGATGCTGCCTTTCTCATGGAAGACCTTTGACCCAGTGGGTCAGCAAGTGGTATTCCAACAACAGAGATGGGATAAGTTGCTTTCAGGACCAGCTTGCTCTCCTGGTTTTAGCCCCGATGTTCTTTGTACATGTGAACTGCTGTCTTTTCCATAAGCCTTGAATGACTCTGAAATGAGGGACAGTCTCTTGGTGGATGATCCCCTTTGTGCTGTTTGCTGTTTCTCTGCTGCTGTCTCTGCAATTCTCCTCTCACTGGTTGCAGGCTCTCATAGTAAGGTTTGGTGAGAACCTTCCCAGCGTCACACTTTGGACTCTAAGCTGTTACCTGCCCTCATCCTGTAAAATGTATTCGCATGTATTGCCTAAGATGACTATTCCTTGTGAGCCAATTAATGCCAATATTTATGCCCTTCCCTTCTAAACTGTAGTTTGGGAATCCAGCCCACATAGACAGCCTCCTGCTTTCGTGGTGTATTCAGTGCCAAGTTCTGCATCTGGTCGGGAGAACCCACTCTGCTTTTTGGGCGCATAAGTAACATGTGAAGTGCAGCGTCCAAGAAACTGCCTGTGTTTCAGCACCTCAGTGGTAATTGTAAATTTTCTGTTCTTATTGGCCTGCAGTTCCTGGAGAAGGTGCATTTTGCTCCTTATCCCAGCCTCCTCCTGCGCTTGGCAGGCCTATCAAGGAAGTGACCAAGTGGCAGGTAGAGCATCTTCTTGGCTTGAATACTGTGATTTGTTTGCCAATGTCTCTGTCCTTGAGACTTGTCTTGACAGTGCCACATACTTAGTTTTGGTCTCTCTGAGTGAGCCTCTTGTGTTACAACCTTGGCTCTGAGGCCCATCCTGCCAGCCTCCTGTTTTCTGTGTGGGTCCCAGTGCTCTTTGCCACCTCCTCCCGGTACACATGCCCTGCCATTATCTTCCTGCTGCCCAAGGGCCAAACTGCTTCTCATGCAGGCCGGTGTCGTTTCAAGAGGACCGGACCAAAGCCTCTGTGAGCCTTTTTATTTTAAGTAAAATGGTGCTTTTTCCTTACTTGGAGATATTCTCTATAAATAATGTAAATGACACCTTTCATATGGAGCTGTTTTGAGTATTGCTTTCCAGAGCTTGCTGAATCTGCTTGAGTTCTGGCTCCTGACCCTGCCAGCATGGAAGGCCTTGCCAGAAGCTCTTAGAAGGACTGGGACAGGCAGCACCAGAAGCCCTGGGAATAAGTGTTTAGATCTGTCTGGGTCACAGCAGTATTTGCTATTTTGTCAAGCTCAGTCCCGTGAACAGTCTTTATATATTTCTTAACATGTGGAATATACTGATTAAATCTGTGAGCAAATTGGACTACTCTTCCCTTTAGCTAGCATCACAGTATGTTTTTCCTCAGGATGATTTCTGTACAATTCTTTCAGTCAGATGAGAGGGCATGTAGGAGAAGGCTTCTGGTGGCAGGCATTACAGGAGGCTAGGTAGAAGAGTCCTACTCACAACAAGGCCTCTTCCTTGGCTTGTCATCATGTATCCACTTAAAGGTCTATTCTCCCATCTACAAGTGGTACTGGTGGCCCTTCTGTAGGGCTGCCATCACAGACATCATGCCGTCTTTTTCCTCCCTGAGGTGACTTGGCAGAAAAATATGACCACATAACTGCTGCTGAGCCTGGGTCCCTCAGCTAAGAGTACTTAGACTCTGAGTTGCAGGACTCTTGGTGAGAAGTATTTTAATCCATGATGGGCCTTTGCGGGTAGCTTTGGCTCTTAAATGAAGTTTGACTAGTCTAAGGATGTACTTTGTTTGCATCTTGTGGACATAGTAGGAGCCTGCCTGGTAACATCCTAAGTAGCTCCTTAATTGCTGCTTTCCCTTATGAGGGCCAAAGAGATGAACTATGCTACATTGCCATGTCTCAGAAAAGTTGCCGTATCTCACCCAGAAGGGAATTTTTCCTCTTTAATGTGCCTGGAGGACACTGTGAGCTACTGCAGTTGGCCTGCCCTTTTCTTTGCCAGGAGCCAAGAAGGGAGGGGATAGATAGATAGATGCCAAGGTTGGGCTTTCTTTTCACCCACCTGCCAACTTTCTCTTGCTTCTTGCTACTGTTCAGCTCTGTTCCCTTGGAAAAGGATGGTCCCTCTGTCTTTAGACTGTAATAAAGTTACTTCCAGTCAGGATCAGGCCCATTTCCTTCTTCATAGGCCTAGATGTGGACAGGAGCCCTCTAGTGTGCAAATTAGCTGGTGGATTTTACCTGCCAGGGTGGGTGGTTCTGCTTTCTTGGTGTCTGAGAACCTTCTTTACCTTTCCTACAGACTTCTGCAGAGGTATCTGACAATATGTAAGTACCATGTTTCCTTGTGGTGTACGCTCTGTTCTTGTTTGTTTTTAAATCACAATGCCTGTTTGGGAGGAGATGAACGTATTTAGTCTATTAGATTTGCGCTGCTGGATTTTTTTTTTTTAATATGTAATCTTGACTAGCTGTCGTATTGTTTATCCTGTAAGATTAGTCTATCAATTAAAGTTTGATAATTAATTGTGTCTCTCTTTCCTTCCAATTCTTCATGCGCCTAATCTATTCTGGGCCCTAATCTATCCTGGGGACTTACCAACACTTAGAACTGGGCCACGAGCCGTCTTTTGTCAGCTGTGGCCTGACTTGTATGGCACTGAGTAATACACACATGTTTATTCTCTGGAACAGCTGACGGGAGATTTGATTGAGCCTGAAGTATCAGAGTAATGAGCTTGCCAATCATCCACCCTTTTGCTTGGGCAGCCCTCTGCCATGCATGCCTCTAGTTAGGGGTTAGGGGAAGATACTTCCTTCCCTCTCTGTCCTAACTGGGAATACTCTACCCTTACCGGCCATCTAGCCTTTGAAAATATGAAAATATGTTTTCTTTTTTTTTTTTTAAGATTTATTTATTTATTATTATATATGAATACACTGTAGCTGTCTCAAACACACCAGAAGAGGGCATCAGATCTCATTACAGATGGTTGTGAGCCACCATGTGGTTGCTGGGATTTGAACTCAGGACCTCTGGAAGTGCAGTCAGTGCTCTTAACCACTGAGCCATCTCTCCAGCCCTGAAAATATGTTTTCAAAAAGCAGTGGTAACAGCACCTGGAGCCACATGCTATAAAGACCCAGAAAGGAAAGAAGATCAGAAATTGGACAAGAACAGAATCCTTGGCACAAATGGTGACAGTTTGTCAGGACATATCATAGTGCACTTGGCCACTTACATGTTAGATGTTTTCCCTTCCCTCCTTTGTGCAAGTATTCCTGAAGGGTCTGGTCTCCCATTTTTCTATCTTGCTAATACCTCATACTTCTGAAGCAACACTGAAAAGCATTTTTCTTTTTCAGATAGGGTCTTGCTAGGTAGTATAGGCCTACCTGGAACTCAGGATCTTCCTGTTCATCCTCAGGGACTACAAGCATGTGGTATGATGTTCAGCTTCAATGTATTAGATTCTTTTTTTTTTTTTTAGATTTATTTATTTATTTTATTTATGAATATACTGTCACTGTCTTCAGACACACCAGAAGAGGGCATCCAATCTCATTACGGATGGTTGTGAGCCACCATGTGGTTGCTGGGACTTGAACTCAGGACCTCTGGAAGAGCAGTCAGTGCTCTTAACCGCTGAGCCATCTCTCCAGCCCCAATGTATTAGATTCTTATTAAAATTCTTACTACATTTTTGTGTTTGTACACATAACACACGTGTGTATACTCATGCCATGATATGTGTGGAAATCAGAGGACTGCTTTTGGAAGTTGATTTTCTTCTACCATATGGGTTCCAGGATGGAAACGTTTGGCAACAGGGTAAGCCACAAAGCCATCTTGCCAGCCTATGGATATATTTTTTTCAAGATAGGATTTCTCTGTGCAGTTCCAGCTGTCCTGAAACTTACTCTATAGGTCAGGCTGACCTTGAACTCAAGAGATCCATACCTGCCTCTGCCTCTGGAATGCTGTGACCAAAGGTGTGCACCAGCACCACCACCACTGCCTGGCAGTATATTCTTTCTTGTTTTGTTTTTCAAGACAGGGTTTCTCTGTGTAGTCCTGGCTGTCCTGGAACTCACTCTGTAGACCAGGCTGGCCTCAAACTCAGAAATCCGCCTGCCTCTGCCTCCCAAGTGCTGGGATTAAAGGTGTGTGCCACCACTGCCCGGCGCATACCAATATATTCTTAAAAGAACTGGTAAAAAACCGTTTTCACAATAGAGACCCTACAAAGAGACAGTCCTAAGAGCTAGAGACAAGGGCTTCTCTGTACTCTTGGGTGACAGTCAGTTGAGAAGTGGGAGTGAGATGCTTCCTGCCATGAGACCTCTGCTGCACACAACTGCCAAGGCTGCTTTTCCACCCCTCTGACTACTCTAGCCATGCTGCCTTGATGTGATTGGCCAGGGCCATTTTTCAGGCCCTGCTTTTTCTACAACTTTTCCTTGTTTACCTCATTTTTCTATTAAACTTTTAAACTTCCCGCTTTTTATGCCTTCTTCCCTATCTAAATCCTTTGATTTTGTATGTATATAGATCACATTTGCCAAGGCACCCATATGAGGAGGTCAGAAGACAAGTTTGTGGATTTGGTCTTCTTTTTCCACATTGATCCAGATTCTTGTAATCCAACTCAGGTTACCAGGTGTGTGCAGACGGTCCTTTACCTGCATATCAGTAACACTTAATTTGTAGAACTTTTCCTATTAATGTTCTTGTCCTACATTTTTTTAAAAAAAGACAGAATCTCACTGTTAAGGTCTAGCTGACCTAGAACTTAACGTGGACCAGGCTGATCTTAAACTCACTATAAAGCCGAGGGTAGTCTTGTCCTTCCTACCTCTATCTTCAAAGTGCGAAGATTATAGATGTGTGCCACTATGCCCTGTCCTGCTTGGTTCTGAGTCTTATTCTATTTCACATCATGGGTTTCTATGGCTAGGGATGCTCTGGTCCAGTGTAAGTTAGCAGAGGACTCCCCTCCTACCCGCTCAGGGCTAGGTTCTCCTAGTGATCATGGCTATATCCTCATATTCAAGTCTAAGACACAGATTCCACTGGTCCATTACTGAGGACTATTAGAGTTCTTGATGGACTTGTGCTCTTTGATTAATAACCGAGTGGCAGACCCATCTCAATTCAAATACCCCACTCAGGTTGCCAGGTGGCTGACCATGTAATGCCTAGTTCTACTGTGTTCTCTGTAGTTAGAACCTATCCTCTGGCAACCCCACAGGAGGGTGTTTTTGTTCCCAGAGTTCTGTCTAAAGCACCAGTTGATTCTATATTTCTCATACCTTTCTCAGACACAGACATTGTGACTGTAAGTGCCACTTGTTCATTGTGAGCCTGGCTGGGACTGTAGAGCAATTACTCTGTATGGAGGTAACAGCACTTTGACAGGTCATTTTACAGGGTTTTGACCCCTGGCTATGTGATGGATAAAAGGAAGCATGGTAGCTAGAAAGGGGCCTCTGGAACTGTCTGCAGGATTTACTCTAAACACTGTATTCAGGTTCTGTCATGTCACCACTCTATTGATGTGTCAATTCCTGGTACCCTCATTTCAGCCGAAAGGACTCAGGCCCAGAGAACAATCAAATGCCAGTCAGTAACTGGTTTACTCCAGCACCCAGACTGCCTGATGCTGAAATCTGCACCCATTTACCTGACCGTTGAGGACTTAAGGAAAGTAGTTCTTGCTGATTTTGCTTGATTGTCTTCTTCCTGATTTCATTGATGCATGTTAGGAATTGCTTGTGGAAACTTTGACCTTGGCATTTATTCAATGGATTTATTGTTAATAAAAGTTTGAAATTAGCTCATTTGGTTTTATTATTTTAAAAACTCAACAGTCATAAATGCTATACCTGATAAAGAAATCTCAAGTGATAGGTATATGTCTCTGGTCTACTCAACCCCACTCTGAAGGAACAGAATTCATGTTAGTCTTCAGCACATAAGGCCCCACCCATCCCAGGAACACAGGTCAGCTTACCTCACTTGGTAAAGTGAGGATGCACCACACAGACCCTTGATTATGAGCCCTAGCTCCAGCATGGCACTGGTATGCTTTTGCTCGTTTATTTGTTGCCTCCTTGGATATCCCACAAATTCCTTAAATCATTGTCTCAGATGGAAAGTATGGCACCCCTTAAAATCTGACCCTCATTTTATTCCTGATTTCAGTAGTAGCACAGCTGTATGAATAGCTGAGATCAAGTTACTCAGAGAAGCTTCTCCACCCATTACTTTATCCCAGTCTCCAAAGCTTTTTTTTTTTTTTTTCTTTTTTCGTGACCATCAATTAGGTCACCCTCTTTAGTCCACCTTGGGTGTCTACATGGTTCTGTCCTGCGGAGAGTCCCACAGTGGCCAACAAGCTTCTTAATCAGACTGTAAGGTCCTTTGGTAGACTGACCATAGCTACCTCTTAACTGCCTGCTGCCACTTGTTTACCTGCAGGTGACCACCTGGGCTGTGCACTACAGATTTCCTGGACCAGAGGCTGACTACTCACTTATTTTTATTCTGTGTTTTATTTTTGAGACAGAGTCTCATGGCACTAGTTGGCTTTGAACTTCTTAGGTAGCTAAGGTGTGTGCTACATAGGGTAGCCACTTGCATTTGCAGTCACTACTGCTCCTGCTGAATTCTGTGTCCTGCCTTTCCTGTGTGCTGCTATGGAGTTTAAAAAAGCCTTTCTCAGGCACCTGATCCTCAGCCTTGGCTGGAGTATGCCAGTTTTCATACCCTTTACAATACTGTTTTCATTGCTGAATTATTAACAACATATTTTAAAATGTACTTGTTAACCATATATATATATATATATCCGATGTGTCTTGGTAGTGACCATTACTTATTCACACTTTGGTACCTTATTTCTTATCATTTTGGCATGTTTTATAGAAGTAGGATTATGCTGCTTATCTTTACTTCATTGTTTTGAGACAAGCTGCACTGTAGCCTCCAGGCTGGCCTTGAACTCAGCCTAGGGTAATCTTGAACTTCCAATCCTCTCACCTCAATCTCCCAAACATGCATTTTATTTTTTGCTTAAAATAGCAACTTTTCTTATTCTACAGATTTGTTTCTGTTCAGCCAACCCCACCCAGTGTTTGTTTTAGACTAGCTTGGGACTCCGGGTGCTTGAGATTATAGGTGTGATGCACACTTTGGGGGACATCCAATTACAAGTACTTAGTAGATTCCTTTTCAAATGTATATTGACGCTTTCTCCCATCTTATGACAAATTGAAAGACAGTTGAAAGAATGGTACTGTGAACTCAAAGACTCACCCTAACAAGTCATCAGTTAGTGTTTTTTTTTTTTTCCCAGATTCATTTCAAAGTCAGCCGCTGATGTGCTTCATGCCTAAATATTTATTTCCAGGCAGTATAGTTATTCTGACTGCTCTGCCTAAGAAATTTAACTTTGTCTTATCACATACATACAGCTTAGTTACCCTAAATGTTTTCTTCTTGGTGCTTTCCAGTTCCATGTTTCCCAAAGTTACCATCTCACTCATCCTGCCTTGTTTTGACAGAAGTGTAGGTCTCACAGGCTATGCAGCTTCTGTACTCTCTCTCACCATCACCCTGCTTACAGGACTGTAGCACGAACACCTGATGGGTGACGTTGCTGGCACATCAGGACAGGTTAGCTTGTATTACTGTAGGTACTGTCACAGAAACTAATGGTCTCCTTGGACCTCCTGCAGGGCTCAATGTTAGGACTGTTTGGGGGATACAGCAAGGAGACTGAAGAGGCTTAACTAGAGGGATTGGGGGACAAGGGCTGGAGATAGAACTGTTTCCAGGTCTTATTTTTTCAATGCTGGGAATAGAACTTAGGGCCTCGTGCATTCTGAGTTCAATCACAGAACTCCATCCCCAGCCACAAAGGCTCATGAGAGTCATCCAGCACATAAAAGATGGGAAATTACCCAAACAAACTGGCCAGCTAGATTAGCTGAAACAGCAAGCAGTGGACCCTGCCTCAGTATGTAAAGAGAACAATGCAGACACGTAGCATCAACCTCCATCTTTGACACATGTGAACATGCACACAGAACCTACACATCAACTCTTAAGTATTCTGTTCTCTGATTTGCACTCTGGAATGCTGTATGTGGTCAGTTTGTTGCCTATCAGAGCTCAGAATCCTTACTGAAAACATCCCTGTGAATTCTTAAGAGCAGAGAGGTGTTTAGTATTTCAGCAAAAAGATTTCAGTGTGAGCCAGTGAACTGTAGCCACATCCATAGTGATGGGACTAGGCTAGATTTGGGTGGATGGGGTGGGGGTGAGGCTGAGTGACAAGCTGCCCCGAGGGCAAGCAGTACTAAAGAGCTTCAATCTACAATCAATCTACAACTCAGGACCTCTGAAACATCTACATGCATTTGGTGGCCAAATCTTCAGCTACCCTGGGATTTAAAGTAGCCATTTACATCTTGGGGTAATATTGCCAAAATAACCTGGAGTAAGTTCCAATCAGCAGCCACATGCATCCTATGTGGTTGACTCTTGGTTGTCAGTGCATAATAAATACTCAAGCTCTTCATGGAATAAAGACATCTGTAAAAAAAAAAAAAAAACCAGGCTCCTTAATGCTCCGTGATGGCAGTTTTACATGATATTTACATGAGTACACTGCAGCTGTTTTCAGACATACACTAGAAGAGTGCACTGGATCCCATTATAGATGGTTATGAGCCACCATGTGGTTGCTGGGAATTGAACTCAGGACCTCTGGAAGAGCAGTCAGTGCTCTTAACTGCTGAGCCATCTCTCCAGCCCTACATGATATTTTCTTAAATGTTTACCCACAGTATCACTAAGATGACTGTCCAAATATGAGCTGGACAAAGATGACACCAATGGACAGGCCAAAGTCCTATAGGAAAGCTGGGAGCAGGAGAAATGGTCTTCTCCAGAAAAAGAGCATTCTAATTGGTCAGTGCCAGACTGTCAGCCCTAAAAGCATACATACAAGTAATATTATATGGACTGAGCAGGTTATACTTAGGAACATATGTATATAGACATGCAATAACCAAGAAGAGGCTATGAATCTGAAAGAGGAAGGAGGGATATATGGGAAGGTTTGAAGGGAGGGAAAAGGCTATAATTATGTTGTAATCTCAATAATTTAAAAAGGGTGGTAGCTGAGGGTGTAGCACAGTACTGCATACAGTGCTTGTCTAACATGTGCAAAACCCTGGAACCCATCCCCAGCACTACAGGGGAACCCCCCCCCAACTAACAATAAATGGTTTCTATTCCTAAAAAGAAAGGAGTATATATGGCCAACATGTATTAACATAACTCCTGAGAGACAAAGAGAGAGAGACTGGGCACTTCTGAAAGAAATGGGTATTGAGGGTAGGCCCAAATGCAGAGTTGGTCCCTGCCTTTGTCTCACCTCATCCCACCAGAAGCTTCTCTGCTGGCTAAGGACCAGCTACCTGAGTCTCTCTCCTTGATGATAACACAAGCTTCTATAAGCCCATTTCCTTTCCCTTCTCCAAACTACAGTAAAGAAGAACAATTATGGCATGACTCTCAAATTGAATCTCAAGATGTGAGCTATGTGTCTGTTAGGTACATCAACCGCAAGAGGCAGACAGTGCTGAGAATACAAGGGTAGCGGTGTGGCGGCATCCACCCATTGTCCTAGCACTCAAAGAACTGAGGTAGGATTACGATTAAGGCTTAGCCTCGGCTACCTAGAATATCTCAAATAGGAGGTGAGGCAGAACTGACACCGGATGTGTGACTAAGTCACAGTGCTTAAAGCCAAGCTGACCCTCAGGAGAGCTGCAACTGCCTTCCCCCAAACCTCAATCCTGGTATTTTGCAAAGGGGTCTTTAGGGAGAACTAGTCCAGTAACATCTGATTCATCAGCCAGTGAGGGAGAGCAAGTGAAGCAGATGTTTTTCAGCATGATTCCATGGACTGAGGTGGATGGCAGAGGGAAGCCTACTTCAGGTACACTGCTAGAAAAAAATATTTTTTTTTGAAACAGGGTCTTTTATTTTTTTTGGGGGGGGGGGTTCGAGACAGGGTTTTTCTGTGTAGCCCTGGCTGTCATGGAACTCACTCTGTAGACCAGGCTGGCCTCAAACTCAGAAATCCACCTGCCTCTGCCTCCCAATTGAAACAGGGTCTTGCTGTCACCCAGGATGGCTTTAACTCTTACATGCCTAGGTAGGTTTCACTGAGATGCTCTCAGACAAAATCTATCATTGCCTTTTGTTATTCTCCCCAGCTGCCCATCATAGTACCTTAGGTGGTATTTCTGATATAGTTAGCAATAACAGATCTTTAAAATTATAATCAACATCAATAAAAATTAAGGTGGCACACGCCTTTAATCCCAGCACTTGGGAGGCAGAGGCAGGCAGATTTCTGAGTTTGAGGCCAGCCTGGTCTACAGAGTGAGTTCCAGGACAGCCAGGGCTATACAGAGAAACCCTGTCTTGAAAAACAAAACAAAAACCAAAAATTAAAAATTTTAGGTCAAGCAGGGTAGTTCAAACCTGTGATCTGAAGCTCTTGAGAAGCTGGTGTTGGCAGGAAGATCACTGAATATGAGGCTCGTGTTAAATGAGTTCAGGCTAGAAGGAAAGTTTTCTCAAAAGAAGAAAAACTAAAGACTGAGAGTTAAATGTTAGCTTTGTACTAGATTTATTTTTAAAGGGTAAAACACTCAGACAATTTAAATACAAGTCCAACAGAACTGCTGTCAGTCAGCCACGATGCCATCGTGTGTCTTCCGGAGTCCTCACAGTGAGGAAGAAGGCTCTGGCAATGACAAGAGAAGTGGGTTTCCTCTTGGTGTGCAGTCACTGATTCTAAGTGCCATGTTTAAGGTGCCCAGTACATTGAAACTAAGTATCCCAAGCATCAAAACACCAGAGCTGAGCCAACAATGAATGTTAGCTAAGGCAGTGCTGGTGATCTGTGACCCATTTGACTTTCGCAAAGTCGTGATAGGGCCAGCATCGTTCCCACATTACATGGGCTCATATTCAAAGCTCAGCAGCTTATCCAAGAAGACCAGGCCCACAGCATGCCTGACAATACAGCCAACTTGGGCCTGTCTCTAAAGCCCTTCCTCTTAGTTGTAAGCAATCCTGGGCCACCTGAGCAGGTGGGTACCTGAGGGACTGAGGTTTCTTTCTGGGTTACAACATGCAGCATTTGTATAGGACAACTTTTAAGGAGAGGGCGGAGTCCTGTCTAGGAAAAAAGGCTTAGGGCTCTGGATGGCAGATAACAAGAAACTAGTAACAGAACTAATGACAGTCAAGCACTGCCAACTTTTGTTTTATGAGTCTTGCTTTATTGGAGAACTACAGACAGACTGATCCTATAGGAGATGGTTTTATGTCAGTTATTTACCTGATACTTTATTCATACACATCCTTCTTATCTGCAATGTAATCTACAATTTCTTGTGGACACATTAACTTCTCTGCATCTATATCAGGAATTTCAAACCCTAAAATAAAAAGTTGGTAACAATGTATAAGTACAGAAAAAGCAAATCTTTTAGAATTGAAAGCATATAATTACCCTCCCCCTTGTTACTTTTAATTTAGGTCAGAGCCTCTCTAAGTTACTCAGACTGACCTTGAAATTTGAAGTAGCTTTGATTATAAGTCTGTGCCACTAGGTTTGGCTTGCATCTGATTCTCTCAATACACAGAACTGTGTTAAACATCTCCAACAATCTTGAAATCCATTTTGTTTTGAACTGGGAAGGTTTTAGAAAATATGTGTATCATGTTGATCTTAAGTTTTTTAGAAAGAATTAGTGTAATAGCCCCCCTATCCTCCTTGGGCGAGTTGTGTAACCACCCTGGCTGTCCTGAAACTTGCTCTGTAGACCAGGCTGGTCTCAAACTCAGAGAGATCCACTTGTCTCTGCCTCCTGAATGCTGGGATTAAAGGTGTGCCCACCACTACCTATGTGAGAACTCCTTTTTCAAGTGTACAACTCAGTAGTCCACTGCTACTATCTAATTCCTTAAGAATTAGTAATAATGGTTCCCCTAGAACCATGGTTCTCAACCTTTTAGAGTCAAATATATCAGATATTTACATGATGATTCATAACAGTAGCAAAATTATAGTTAATAAGGTAACAACATAATTTCATGGTTGGGGGTCATAACATGAGGAACTGTATTAAAGGGTGGCAGCATCAGGAAGGTTGAGAACCACTCTCGTTGAACATTTTCATCATCCCTAAAAGGAAACCAAGTGTCGTTGGCAGGTCACTCCTGGAATCCCAACCCTCGGGCAGCCATGGATTTACTCTGTCCCATCTTTCTTCCTCTTGATACTCAATGCCAGTGGAGCATGTGTACAGCATATGGTAATGTGAATATCTGACTTCTGTTCTCAAGGGTCATCCATGCCATAGTGTGTTCCTTTTATGTGGTTGGGTTTTGATAGCTTCCATATGGTTTATTTGGGCTCAGACACTGTAGTGAATACCTTCTATGTGTTTTCTCAGCAGTCCCAATCTTGAGGCTTTCTTACACTCAGTTGTACAGTGAGAGATGCTGTTGTCTGTCAGGCTCACACATGTCTGGGCTCAGTCCAGCTCTGGTTCTTGTAAACCCTTGGCAGCAACAGCACCACTCCTGCTAGCATCATCTGTAAGAGCTTTAACTAGGGCCTGCTCTGTTGTGTGGCACACAAGTCTTTTGCTCCCTAGTTGAACAGCTACCCACAAAGGTATTTTTGGAATTTTGTAAAGCCTCATTTGCATAGCAGACAGAACTTAATACAACTTGGAGCAGGCAAAGGAAACATCACAGGAAACTCAGACCTCAGCTGTGTGTCCTCAGCACAGCTTATTATTGCTGTCTAGCTAAAGTCATCATAAATCATGAGGGGCCCCAAGTGATATCAGCATCTCTACAAGTGAAACTTTTGCTCCTGATCCTATGCTTTTCTGGGCCTTTAATTCTACTATGCATTCTGCATAGCCTGGGCTGTCCCTAATAGTTAACATCACCTGACAGTAAGAAGGCTGGGAAGTATTGGCTGTTATTGTTTCTAGTAAAGCTGAGTCCAATCCAGATTCCAGCACTTCCTTCAGTTTAAACCTTCTAAGGTCATCTGGCCTGGACTGCAGAGAGAGATCTTTTCTTAAAAATAACAAAACAAAGACTCATAACATGCACACCCAAAGCTAAGGTATATATGTTACCAAATTCGTCTTCCATGGCCATAATAATTTCCACTTGGTCCAAACTGTCTAAGCCCAGGTCCTTCATAAAATGAGAATTTACTGAGAGCTGCAAGAAAAAAATAGTAAACAAAATTTAACCCATGAAAGTGGGTTTGCCAAGACAACAGAATGCTACTTTATCACCATACAGACAATTTAAAACAACTATCAAAGCTTTAAATAACATGGTGTGGTTACCATATGCTGACATGGATACAGTGTAATTTGTTACCTTGTTCAACTTCATTTTGAGGTGGTTAACTTAACAAACAAAATTAAATGAAGGATTTCATGCTGCATATTTTACTTGGATCTTTTGATCACTGTTCTAAAGGATATCAGAGAGAATTTGTTTTCTTGCTACTTTACTAACAAATAAAACCACTTGTCCTCAAAATTGCAAGCTATTATCCAAGCACTCCAAAGGCAGGCACAGACACAGATTTGAGTTTGAGGCCAGCCTGGTCTACATAGCAAGTACCAGGTCAGCCAGTGCCACACAGTAAGTAGCTTAGTATAGAACATTTGCCTAGTATACATGAGGCCTAGGGTTCCATTCCCAGCATCACACACTCAACAACTAAAAATCCCAAGATTATTATAAATTGCAGGTACCTTCTGTAGTGGTTTGAATAGGTTTGGCCTATATAGACTCATATGTTTGAATGGTTGGCCCAGAGAGTGACACTGTTAGGAAGTGTGTTCTTGTTGAAGGAGTGTGTCACTGTGGGGGTGGGCTTTAAGGCCTTATGCTCAAGCTCTACCTAGTGGGGAAGAGACCCTCCTGCTGGCTGCCTGGAGAAACAAGTTTCCTGCTGCTGCTGCTGCTGCTGCAAGATGTAGAACTCTTGGCTCTTCTAGCACCATGTCTACCTGAATGCTGCCATGCTTCCCACCATGATGATAATGGACTGAACCTCTGAAACTGTAAGACTGCCCCAATTAAATGTTTACTTTTATAAGAGTTACCTTCACTTTTGGTCATGGTGTCTCTTTACAGGAATGACACCCTCAGATGAGAAAATACAGTATTTTGTTTGCTTATAATGTACACCTCGAGATCACCAGGAAATATTCTTAAAAATCCATGTAAGGACCTGAAGAGATGGCCCAGGAGTCAAAAGTAGTCTCTATACAATCCTGATGACCATAGTTCAGATTCTAGCACCCATGTAACAAAGCTGGCTGTTTGATAGAGCCTATACTCTCAGCTCTGGAGTGGGCAGAGAGAGGAAGATCACTGGACTTGTTGGCTTCCAGCCTAGCAGGGAAAGTAGAAGTCCCAGGTTCTGAGAAACCTTGCCTCAGAATAGATGGACTAATGATTGAGGACATCTGATGACCTCTTCTGTCCTCAGCACACACATAGGCAGGTACACACACACACACACACACACACACACACACACACACACACACACA